GCAGTGGCATAGGCAAAGCATTTTATTGGGAAAAATTGCACTTGTTGTTGACCCATCACCGAACCAATATTCAGGCCAGCGGGTGTAAACGCCATGTTTACTGGGACTGCAGCAGTGTGGAGTGGTGCTCATGTCAAGCAACTCTGCGCATGCTTTTGGCTGATTCCCATGAATCAAACCCCCCCCCATAGGAATCGCAATCGCGGGGAACCCGGGGGCGTTCTCCCCTGGTTTTTTCGGGTTGGGGGGGCAAGGGTCAAATGAAAAGGGCAAGAAACAAAAGAGTACCCCCCCCCCCCCCCCCAAGCGAAGTACCTCGAACGAAGCCCCTTGTCCACTTGGCCGCAACCCGCATTACGACGAAGACTATTGTTGTCACTGACACCAGTTAGAAGTGGGGCGCCCTCGGTTGGCTGCCCTGATTCCGAAAGAACCCTAAGCCTCAGACTCGAACGGTCGCACGCCCTACTAGCAGCTACAAGCACACGTCTAACGGTACCTTCTCGACAAAAGGTCTTCCCTCCCCGCCTTCCATGCCCTTCCACTCTCGACGACGCTCCCCCGTGCGAAGAACGGACCTCCGACCCAGATATGTAAACTCGGGCCGAGCCTCAATTTTTTTTTACGTCGTCAACCTCGAGCGGTTTTTTTTTTCTAGAACTACTGTAATTGTAGGATTCACCGCCGAGTTGTGGTTCTGAACCCAATATTCTCGCGTTTCGTAAAGGTTCATTCGAGCCTCTGTTTTTCTTGACGGAATATCTTCTTCATTGCGAGCCCGTTCGCTTTTTGTGTGCATTGCTGCAAGGCTTAACGGCATCCATGCGCGCGAGGAGCACGAAGCCAAGCTGGCAAGCGACGAGGCCGCAGGGATCGGTTCGCGCGGCATCATGTTGGGCGGTTTCGACGTTACCGTCGACGGGGTCGCCATTTCGGGGCCCCTGGAAACCCCGGGCGAGATCCGCGCAGCCACGGAGCACGACTGGCGGTCGGCAGATATCGGCGGTGAGAGGTTGAGAAACCCGCGGCCTACAAGCGTTGGGTGTTTGGTGTACGGGGGAAGGTACCCCATCGTGTTGATCGTCCTTAGCAGACCGGTTACCCTTAACTTGTCCGTGTTTTCCTGACGGGCCGGTCAATATCAATATAGCTAATTTATATTCCAGATGCTATCGGTGTTGATATCAATAGCTACTTTAATATCGGCAAAATCATCGACGACCATGCCAATATCAGCACCGATGCCAATGTCGACATCAAAGTGGACGTCGACATGGGTATCAACGTAGTATCAGCACAAATTCCAATATCGACGTCGGTCTCAACATCAACACCAAAAAAAAAGACACATATGTCTCCAATATGTGCTGCGGTGGTGTCGACATGGATCAACGATGCTTCCAGGTCTTGTGAACGACCCGAAGGAAGCTTTGGCTGCCATGAGGCTCCTGCAGAGTCACCTGCCGGCTCTCAACCAAGTGCACGCGTCACTCAGGTGATCACAGACCAGAGAGACACCTCTACCAGATACCATGGAATGCCAGAGACTATGGTAGGATAGCGAAGCGCTCTCGAACCATCTATTGTTGGGCGTTACCACACACAATGGACTTCAGTGTGGGACAGCAAGGACGCAATGGTGCCACCATTGACCATGGTCTACGAAGGTAGGACGACAGACGCTCTCGAATCACCTAGAATGCCGCCATCGAACCGTGGACGTCGATGTAGGACAGCAAACACTCTCAAACAATCTAAGTGGGACGTCACCGTAGGCCGTGGACAACACGTCCGCCGTAACCACACCAGCTCGATGGTTCTGGGCTGTAATTGTTCGGAAACGTTTCTGATCGGTAGTAACAAATCACCAAATTTACCGAGGGCGTCCGGGTGCTCGTGAGTAGCCTTGGAGGCTGCGCTACCGCTTATCGATGTGCCGCCAGGCGAACCGCTGAGAATACCCGTCAGAGAGTGCTGCGCTTACGGTTTTCCCAACGACGTTCCGTCTGGCCTGCTGCGTGGTTTCCATGTAGCGGAGGGAGGATGCCCGGGGGATCGTCTCCAGCGATGTCGTTGCAAGACTTCGCACACGGCTTGCACCGGTACGGCATCATGCCGTACGTCCGCGATGCACAGGCGGGGGAGGCAAAGGGTGACGAGAGCAGGGATCCCCCGGACCCCGTGAGGGCAGTATTCCGCGACGCCAAGAGGGGACATTGGCCCGGGGACGTCACGGTGAGAATGAACCGTTGCGCTCTCTTGCGGCGTGGGCTGTTTCTCACCGCATGGTTTCATGCGGGATCGTACCAAAATGCTACCATATGAGTTCATTGTTAACCCTAGGCCCTAATGTGTGGATAGAGGTGGATTCGTTGCGAAAAAAAAAAAAAAGGCTGACTACAAAACTCCGCACCTTGAAAATATGTTCGGCTTCCTCCCGAACCCCGGCTCCCACCTTGATTGCGGGATAGACAGGCGTGAGTATCGGAACCTACCGCAGGAATCGCCAATTCAACAGCCCAGCCCCGGTTACCCGCACACTGACCGATACCATCAACTTGGGTGGCGCATGTCCCCCCCCCATGCCACCACGTCTGCTAGCTTCAATCTCGTATGCATGCATTTGACTGGCTTGACAACTGTTGCAGTGCTAGTTCGTGTGTTGCAGGTTGTACTCCACCCGCTAGGGTAAGGAAGGGGAAGGGAAAGAAAGACAAGGTGGGCCTCACACGGCTCACACGCTCGGATTCGCGAACACGTTCTGTCGTCGAATCTCCCGACCGACACGACACCATCATATATTGGGAGAACACACCGACAAGTGTTTTCGCTATTTTTGTCATTAACAGCAAACCATGGTAGCGGTCTTGGCACTTTTTCGCGTGCATGTTTGCGCGAAACCGATGCTTAGAACGGGGTTGCGTGGCATGTTTTATAGCGTTGAATAACTGCCGGCCCACTCGCAGAGAGAAAGAGAGAGAAAGAGAGAGAGAGACGGAGAGAGAGACGGAGGGAGAGACGGAGGGACAGGGGGAGCGAGTGTCATATCGAGAGAAACACAGACATGGAGAGATGGAGAGATGGAGAGATAAAAGAAACAGACAGAGACAGACAGAGACAGACAGAGACAGGCAGACAGACAGACCGACAACTGAAACGGCGACGCCGTAGACAGTAGATTAACTTTCAAATCCACTTGACCCCACGTCCGGGTCGGCCGCTACAACTCCAGGTACTTTCTAGGGCGCAGTTCCTGGCTGCTTTGGTGCTGATCGCACGCGGAAAAGGTGGGTGATCTCGCGTCCGCCGCATGTGGCCGTTGCATACTTGGCTGCTGGCTGAGGACCGGATTTCACATATGAATAGAGCCACAGCAGGAGACATGTTCTCGTTTTCGGTCGCATGTGACTTCTGTAAAAAAAAAACGGAAACCTAGACTGGCCGAACGAGTCCAGGAAACTCATCGCTGCTGCCCGTGCACGAACAGGCACTACTATTGTTGGCACTAATTATTGTTGATCGTTTAGGTCTTGAGAAAGGATGAAGGAATCATGAAAGCGTGCAAAAAAAATGAATGTATGTGTCGTTTGTCATATGCTTCTTGATTCAGTTCTCGTGCTATTTTCCTTTCCGCCGACGTGTGCAGGGGGCGGGACGGTGGAGTCCATGAGGGAGATCGTGGAAGAGGTCCTGCTTCCTACGCACACATTGACCATGAGCGATGAGGTCGGCGTGGAAATCACTAGGCCGGTAAGGTCGGCAACGTTACTGACGGTGTGTGTTCGTTCAATAGTGATGGACGGTACTTTCATCCGGAGAACACGGTACGTTCCGTGCAATGTGAAGGCATGGATCTGGGTCGTTTCAAAACCCTATGGTACGGCTCGCCTCAGAACTACGTTTGTTGTGGTATCGGCATGGATAGCACATGAATATGTGCTACTCGGTGCTGATCTGCGACAGATACCGTTACAGAACTTTACCAACAACCGGTCACCTCTTGCACACGGTGCTGTTACGTAGCGGACGACAGATTTCGAAAACGTTCTTAAGGTGCGAGAGAAGGGCATATCACCAATCGCAACCGCGTGTGTGCAGGGTCCGCTACATGCCCGCTCATATCAAGATTCGTACCCCCTACTGCTGTATTTCGACCAGGAGGTGCAGCGATATATTTCCGACAACCGACGCCTGCTGCACTCGGTGTACTTGCTCTACGCCGAGGCTTCCGAGGGCGGAGCTCTCATCACCTTAGGCCACTTTAGGTACAGTACCTCGCTTTCGGTCTTCTTGCGTCCGTAGGGGGTGCATCCCAGTTTGCGGCGCCCTTACCCCAGTGCCCACGAGCAGAAACACCAACAGCACAGTTTTCTGAATCGGGCGACACGAATGAACCTCACAGCTGCGAGTCGATGACGATAGCTGGACAATATGACCGTTCATGTGTTGGATACCCTGTCGCGCACGATGTGGGTTGTCTAACCTCGACGGAACTTTTGGTCGCAAGGAACAATGATCCTCCCCGTTCTCCGAAAAACAGCTCCACCAAGAGCTCGAGCACGGATTGCAACATAGCAAAAAAAAAACTGGCTTGAAAACTGATCCAGCACCAGGGGCTGCGTCGCGCCTCTCAGACCAGAAAAGGCCCCACGGCGTACGAAAAAACCGGCCTGATCAATAATCCTACAATCATAAGCACCATGAGAACTAAATAATTTCTTCAACCCGCTGGACATGCTGAAACCGTCGCAGAGAGCTAATGGATGACTGCGGTGTGATGTCCGCCATGACAGCTACCACCAGCGGCAGGGCCAAGTTCGACTTCCAGGCGGAGACTTGCTTTCTCGAGGTCAGACAGAACGGCACGACAAAGCGTTTTACGCGCAATGGGCAACCAATAGGCGCTGTTTTTTTTTCTTGTTTCCGCTCGAGTCTCTCCAACGGCGGCAAGGAAATTTCTCGTGTAATGTAGCGCCGACGGGTCCCGAGAGAAAATAGCACGTGCACGCACTAGCCCACACACCACCTGATTGCTGGTATCGTTCGGGAGTCTCAGCGAATACGGGGAGTCCTCTGACGGGCAGGGCCCTAAAATAACCGCCAAGACTGAGGCCGTCAACATTCGATCGCTTTAGTAGTACGGATTCCTCGTTTTTCTTGGGGAACACAAGTGCCTAACGTCTTGAGACCCTGTCTTTCTCCAAAACGGTGTACGCCCGGATTTCTTGGTAAGCATGGTTCCTACCCACGTAGTGTAGTTCATGAAATAGGAACGATTGTCTTGTACTCTGTGGGCGAGGGATGTGATCGGCATAGGGCCAGGATTTGCATTCTAGCATCATCACGGGCATCTCATATGTGGTGCCCTCTCATCTCTTTGACTTCAAGTGCAAATTAAATTTTCTTTCCCGAAGCCATGGAGTATAGGCCGTTGCCGAGGTACCTCTGCTCCATCAGCACCAGCTATCTCTTGCCTACCAGTGGGTATTCCATCCGCGCAGTGTCTGTTGCTTTGTGCCTCCTCTTTGCCGTTCCTTCTTTGCGGCGCCGGTTTGATACGTCCAGAACCCTACTGGAAGACGAAATCAACACACGTTCAAGTTGAAAAACAACACACTCTTTGCTGCAAAGAAACTTGTTCCTTCTTACACAGTTCTTCACGCTGGTGTCCCCATATGATAATACGCTCACCCGGGTTCGAAACGAAGGAGCCAAGTACCAGTGGAGTTGTATATGCTTACGCCGACCCTTCGCCGGCTGGTACCGTGCCTGCATGCAATCACAACCCTCTCCCCGCGGCCCCCCGATAGGTGCAAGGCAAGCCCCCTCTCCCGTCCTTGGTCTTCACCGAGTGCATCGAGGCGGCATGCAGGTTTGACGCCCAAGACTGGTAGTCGGCATGGATCTATAATATGTATATTCGTGCAGCGCGTGTAGTGCCGTGAATGCTGACCGGCGATCGTTTGGTGCAGTGACTGGTCGCTGTGTGAGCACCAAATCCTAAGCTTCGTCGTTGCCACGATGCGAGTAGCGTCACTCCTGCTGCCGATTTCATCGCGGAATGTAAACACCCTGTTGTTTTGGAGATGATGCAGATATTAGAACAGCAACATCTCATGGAAATCAAGGCTACGTGTGATGGTTGATGATGATGTTGGCTCGATATGTTGTGGCAAATGTGGCTTGTGTCAGCTTTGCTTGTGTGTGTGTGTGCGAACACAGCGGCAGGCAGCAGCAACGCTGCTGACAAAACAGGCTCTACTCTCGTCGTGCAGAGGTGGAGAAACTGGTGGTTAAACCAGTGTATGTGACGACCTTTGATGTTTTAACTTCTTTTATTTTTCATCGTGAGCCTTGCTCAGACTACAGCGTAGTTGTTGAGATTGTTTGGAGACGGGGAAAGTTGGGAGTGAACTCGGTGGGTGAGCTCGTGTCCTCTCTGCCTATCTCAAAATAATCCGTCGATACCTACCGACGCACACGCCCAACGAACTCAACGACCTGTCCGGCAACGTTCCGGGACCCGAGTACCGTTCTTACCTAACTCAAATACCATTCTTAGTAACCGCAACCATAACGGTCCTGGAGTAGTTCCATGAACTATTCTACGTAATGGAGAAAAGCCTGTTCCTGGGAATGTTCCGGAGGACCGGTTCAGGAACTCAATAATTTCTCAGGATATTCCTCGGGTGATTGTTCACTTGAGCGGAACAAACTTTCCGCATACGCAATACGAACAATACACAACATAGTACAAAACCATTAATCTTTGCATACAGCAACTGAAAGCAGTAACTGGGATCCAACAGCATATTGCGCTATATTTCAACAACATCGGCCGCTTGCTTGGAGAAAAACAGAAGGTCCTCACGTCGTTGTTCTAGTCCTAGGTTGAGGGTACAAATGCAGTTTTGGTACATTACACTGGAAGCAATACACCGATTAGCAATAGTCTGGCAGTGCCTCTTACACCTTCTCAACTTTGCCTCGAACTTTTGTAACAGGCTGGCGATCATGACTGCCGAGGACAGCTCGTCCATACAATCACAGCCAGGAACAGCGGCAGACAGTAGTAGCCACGGCCGTGTGCAGCAGCAGCCGCAGCAGCGGAAGGAGCTAGAAGCCATCTACCTGGTCCTGGACTGCATCATTGACCTGGGCCTCGGCGACAGGGGGTTGGATGCCCGCGACTAACCGACCCACCGACGAACACAGCATACCGCAGCATTGCCGTATGTATAGTGGTCGCTGTTTAGGGCCGCGTGGTAGTGCCAAGGGATTTGACCGGCATTTATACCGAGCACCCGGCACTGCTCATATGAGATAGCTAGAATATGCCATCTCTCTTGTGGCACGCGATTTCACCGGCCTTGTACACAGCGACCGGCCTATAGATGTGGGGTGTACAGTAGGGACCTCTCAGAGCGCTAGCAGACGGTTGGGTCGCCCGCCCTTCTGACGCCACGCGGCGGAAATCTGGGACCAACAACGATGTCGACCTGGCCAAGCATCTGCACACCCGGGGCATCCTGAAGGGAGGGAGGATTTTATTCTGCCAACTCCTGCAATAAACGGAGGCACACACGAAACGTGTCCGCGGCCTCTTGTGGCATATACATGTATGTAGTCTAGTGTCGTCGTGAGCCACCGTTCTCCATGCTCTTGCAGGCGTTTGTCTGGGAAATTGCGTGGGCAAGGATGGAGATACTCTCCGCCCTGCTGCAGAAACTTGATGACAGAAGAATTCGATCACAGTAGGTGTTGTGAATTGTTGAGTTCTTTTGGGTCCAACCAAAGATCTAGTATCCAATTGCAGTGCATTGTATGCTTGTAGGCTGTGCTGTGGGATCAAGTAGGTAACCTCGAAAAACGTTCCGGGGCACAGGAGTCCTTCCACTGTCGTCGTCAGCATGTACACGTGGGTGAACGTCCTCCACACATCCACCAACAACCGAGCCCCGCCAACATTCCTTCAGCCAGACGCACCGCTCTGTGGCCGGTGCGCCGGTGATGCTCTCTTCGCTGAAGGTTCCATTCCTGAATCTGTTCATTCCTCGTGCCCTGGCCCTGGTTCCACCGCAGGTGCTTCTGAACCATATTTTCAGTTCTGGAACTCCCGGGGATGTTAATGTTTTGTCCCCGGATGGCGCTCGCTCGTTTCCCGTAGGATAGCTTGTTAGGGCTGACAGAGCTACCCGCCACGTATAGGCCATCCTGCAGCATGCCGAGACACGGAGTCGCCGGGGTGTTCCTGGCTCTTGCGCTGGATAGAGGAACGGAGGCGTTCACTGCCTCCCCTAACTTCGGGCGCAATGCCGTCGTCAACACTCGGTCTCACGCCGATCGAAGAAGGTGAAGCACCGCCCGACTTCCGTGCAAGGATCATCAGCGCTACTGCTGTATAGACTGCTGTATGTCCGCAACAACAGCAATGCATTTGTGCGTGTTGCCCATGCACGCCTTCCGATAGCTTCCAACAAGGGTCCTGTTGCAAAGATGTTTTTGCGCTCGGCAAGTTTGTCTGCTGGGAAGATTAGCTCAAGACTGCCTGTTCCTCCCCACGTCATGCCCGCAGTCGAGTCAGCGCGCATTGGAGCTGCTACGTCTTCTGCAGCAGTAGACCTCACTTCTCTCCCCATCTTATCCCCAAAAGACGACAAGCCCAACCTTTACGACGGCAGCGTAATCCCTCACCTTTTTATTTGGGGGCTTTATGTGCGTTTGCAATGCGCTGTTGCGAGACATCCTTTTGTTGCACACAAGCATGTGTGCACAATCCGTCAACTCATGTCGTAGTACATACCGTATATGACACAAGATAACACACCCCCTGGCCCGATTTTCAAAGATCGATTACTCGATGACGAAGAGGATACATAAACGAAATTATACATTTTCGAAAAGCTCCCAACGCGACGGTTCCAACGCCGCCGTTTTCGGCGCTGTGAGTCTTCCTGCTGTTGAGAAATCGATCTTTGAAAATCGGTCAAGGGGATGTGTTATCTTGTGTCATATACGGTACACATCCAGCAGTACTGCGCATGATTACCTTATGCAGGTGACGTGACAGGTATCACACCGCCGGGACCACTTTTGAAAGCTAGAGTTTTTTCGGAGCAGAGAGAGTGACGATGCCGAAAATGGCGGCGTTGCAACCGCCTCGTCTCTTCGAGAGCTTTCCGAAAATGTATGGTTTTGTTCACATATTTTAACCCTCTTGGTCTTCCAGTATTGGGGAGTCCATATCGATCCAAGGGGTGCGGTTACTTGCCAAACGTACATACGGCAGTTTCGTTCAAGCTCGGCATCAACACTACCTGCTTCCACTGCTACTGTTCTGTGCATGCCATCGTGAGGTACGCAACCCAATGGCACGTCTCACCTACAGCGACGCCTCATCCATGCTGGTATGTTGGTAATGATTTTATTACTTGTGGGCCGGTGTGTGGGCTTGCGCGTGGTAACGAACTCGCTTTGCTGCTTGGGCTTCTACCGTACGGGAGATGAAGAGGAGGGTACATACCGCAGATCGGCCGGGACGGCTTTGAAGTGTGGAGGAGAACACAACAACAACAAAAACAACAACAGTGGCAGCAGCAGCCAACACCATCAACAACAAGATCAACAACACCACCACCAATAGCAACAACGCAAACGGCAACAAACAACAAAAACAACAACAACAACAACAACAACAACAACAACAACAACAATAATAACGACAACACTAACGACAAATAAGACCAACACCACTACCACCACCAACAACAACAACAATAACATTTGTCCCCCTCTTGCAGCGTTTCGATGATGGCGGCCGCGGAAGAGGGCTCTACCGGGGGCGGGTCAAACCTGTGTCGGGGGGAGTTCATCTCGTCCGTGGCGGCATCCTTCGGTCTCGGTCTCGCCTTGGCGGTTTCACCCGAGGCCGCCCAAGCGAGCGTTAACTTCGAGACGGAAAGGTACGGAGACAAAGAGCTCAAGATCGCCACCGTCAACAAGCTCAGGCAACAGATACGCAACTCAGTGAGTGTCGCCGGAGTGTCGCCGACCGCTGCCGTGTGTGAGTGAGTGTGTGTGGTTTGTTCTTAGCATCGACCGCGCAAACCGGCTGACCAATGAAAATGTGCCAGTCTCAGTGCGGCTGAAAACGCAAACTGCTTCTAAAGGCTACCATGATCTGGGACCCCGCGAGGGGGGGGGGAGTGTAGGATGCTATTATGCTACTCTCTAGATTAAAAAGTAATTTGTTGTGTCTGTGTCCTTTTCGCCTTGCGATATTTGTTTGTGTTTCTTTTTTTTATTCCATGATTTCATGTACCCTTTGTGTTTGTCTCTCCGCAGTTGCTGGAGGACCCGAAGTTAGCGCCGGAAATGCTCAAGCTGGCCATCGCGGACGCCCTTGGGTTCGACGCGTCGACCCAGACGGGCGGACCCGATGGCTCGGTGGTGCTGGAGCTGGACAGGTGAGACCGGACGGGACGTTTCCCGGCAACAAGTGCGACGGTGGCGGCAAGAGCACGGCTTTAGCCCGGCAGGTGTATACTGTAGCAGCATCTTTTTGACGCCAAACCTTTGAGGAAGAGAATGAAACGGCTGGGTTTTTGTTTTCGCTGGTCCCCCTTTTTTTGTCTTTTGTTCTCGTCTCTCTTTCTCTTATCTCTGTTTGTGTTGATCTCTCTCTCTCTCTCTCTCTCTCTCTCTCCCTCTCTCTCTCTCTCTCTCTCTCTCTCTCTCTCTCCCTCTCCCTCTCCCTCTCTCTGTCTGTCTCTGTCTGTCTCCCTGTCTGTCTCTCTCATCCTCAGGGAAGTGGCGAAGAGCTTGAAGCCAGCGGTGGACAATGCGTTCAAGATCAAAAAGAACCTGCAGCGCACGAATGAGATGACCCTCGCCGATGTTATTTCCATGGGGGGAGCGGAGGCTATCCACGCTTGCGGAGGCCCTCCCATGCTCGTACAGCTCGGAAGGTATCTACATGCTCCACAATTATTTTTTTCCAAGTGTTGATGCTTTTTGAGACAACAGAGTATATTTTTGAAAGGGGGCTTAATCTTCCTAGGACTGGGCCTTTGTCCGTCATGGCATGGAACGGCGTGGGTTCAATCCTCTTGCAGCTGAGTTGGTGAGAGACAGTTTGTGAAGTATCGGCGGGATTAGAAAAAAATGCAGGCCCTCAGGCAAAGCGTATGTGACACACATCGTACGGTAGGACGTGCAACACCTGCAATGTGTCCTCAGGGGTCAGATAGTCCACAATGCCTGTATACATGGAAGGAAAATGCTCTGGGTTCCATCTTGAGTTGAAGCGCGCATACGTGCCCATAAATGCGAAAAGGTGCCGATGTTGAGACGAGATTAATTTCGTTGTGGAATGGTATCCCACCATGCGCCAACGATTTGTTCCAGCATGTACGGACACTAGAAGGTACTGAGTGGAGACCGGAACGATTTTTAATGTGAAGACAACAACAACAACAACAACAACAATAACAACATGGTAGCTTCAACGAGAGCCACGGCCCAGTTCCCGAGGCAGAGTTCGCTTTCTTTTCTTCTTCTTTTTTCCTTTTTTTTTAACCAGGTATGATGAGAAGAAGGCGCCCAACCCTGCCGCCGACATCAAAGGATACAGCTTCGACGAGCCCACCGGAGCCGGAGTCAAGGCCGCGTTCAAGCGGGCTGGCCTTGGGCCCAGGTGAGGAAGGGCCGGAACGCAACGCTCTATCGTTAATTAACCCCCCTTTTAAGATTCGTTGGTGCACCTTAGGGCCAAAGGGTGTGGTGTCGTCGCTGCCGGCGAAGCTGGATAGACAGCCGGATCTCCGCTGCCGCAAAAGCACACGGAAATGTGTTACAGCGCGCGCTTTCATGGGTCCATTTTTGGAGCAAGGTGCTACAACAATGGTTACCAATGGGTGTGGTCTGGTCGTACCGGTGAATCTGTAGGCAGGCAGGTCTGTCTGTGCTGCTGCAAACGTACACGGAGGTACTTTCCATGTGTCGTCGCGCGTTTTCATTGGCGCATTTTTGGGCAAAGGTTCTTTCAATGGGTTGCCAATGGGTGTGGTCTCGTATGCATGCGCTGTACGGCCTTGGTAAGCATTCCACTTGACACACGCGCCGTCGAGCAGCCTAATGGGGAAAGATCGGAGTCAGCTCACGGCGAATCTGTAGACAGACGGGTATTGCTGCCGCAAGAGTACAAGGTCGGTGGTGTAGCTCACACGCGTTTCTGCGCGATTACCGCTCCGTTACGGCATGCGCATGCATCGCGACATGTGCCTCAACGGCGGTGATGCTTTGCGACAGGGAGATGGTGCTGCTGCTGGGAGCTCTCGGAAGTGTCTCGGATGCGGCTAGTGCTGTGGGAAATGGCGGGTGAGTCCACTGAGATAGAAGAGAAAATATGTACTGGACCGATGCAACACCCAGGAAGTGGTTGTAGTGTTGCGACATTATCAGTTTTAGATCATGCGATCCACTTGACAATACTATTAGTTGCAACCGCGTTAGATGCCGCTTGTGGTACCGCTCCGGGAGACGGTGGGTTAGCCAATGGAGATGGAGCAAACACGCGCTCAACAATATATTACGCTATGAATTCGTTGATAATCTATCTTAGACTCTTTTCTTTGATAGAGATGGATTCGTTGGGTCACATCCAGAAAATATAGAATAACAACAAATGGCACAATAAAAACAAATGGCACAATTTTCCGCATTGTCTCCCTCCTTCAAAAACAAAAAAGGGGCGACGGGGATGATGACGACTTGGAGGACCTGGCATGGCAGAACAGCATCCCCAACACCTTCGGGAAGGAGTCAGACAAGCTCGGGAGGCCGCTGTCGAACTCCTTCGGGCCGGGTTTCCTGCAAAGAGTCGCCGCGGCTGGAAAGGACGGGGGGGGGATAGGGGTGGTGGGGAAGGCTCTCCTGGAAGATGATGAGGTCAAGACGTACGTCAGAAAATACGCGGGGAACTCCAAGGTAGGCGTGAAGGTAAAACAGTGCACAACGCGCATTTACTTTTCGGTTACAATCTAAGAACTTGGCCCAAAGAACAGGTGCTTCGTCAAGAAACCTGCTCTAAAACCTATATAGTCGAAGCCTACACTATGACCTATACGGTACAGTCGAAGCCTGCGCTATAACCTGTATTGTCGAATCCTACACTATAACCTATATGATCGAAGCCTACATTCAAACCTAGATATCGTCGAAGTCTACACTGTATTATCGAGGTACAGTACAGTACCCCATATTCTTAACAAGAAGCGAGCCTCGCCCAAATGATGAGGTTCTTCCATGGTGGAGCGTTCTGTAGGCGCCACTACATAGCGTTGTTGGCGAAGTGTTTCAGAGATCACCGGGGTAATTTGTTGGAGCGCCGGTAGGCGTAAGATAATTCCGCAGCGGCAAGACAAGACAAGACTTTTGTGTTTGTGGTTCTACATGAGTTGGTTTTGCACCGGTGGTGCGTTCAACAGTGGGACAGACGGCTCCGGAGGACCCCGTTTGCTGTGAGGCGTGGGACACAAGAGTTAATAACCGGCAGGATTTGCGTCTATTGCTATCTGCTCCGATGCCATGCCGTGAATGCCGCATGCCGGACGTGTGGTACAATCAACTCGCTCTAACGACACACACCGTTCTTGTCGCACAACCAACGCGGTCACATCACACACACACCGGTCTTGTCGCACAATAAACCCGCTCACGCCGCCGTGTCTTGTGACCGTCTGGGATACTTGCGCGCGCGATCCGCGCGCCGGGGATGGATGGGTGTTCCAAACCAAACCGTGAATTTCGACAGGCGTTCATGTCGGATCTGTCTGAGGCCTACACCAAGATGACCTTACTCGGGGAGCGCTATGAGACGCGCAACGCCATTTAAGATGAGATGAACACCGTCGTTATTTTGTTTTTTCGGGTTTATTATGCTGTAGTTGATGTCGCGATGGGCCTGATGTGAAGTTGATGTCACGATGGGTCTGATGTGATGTTTAATGGGACTGGATATCACCTCAGTATGACGGTGGTCGGGCGTCGCTTGGGCCCGAAGGCTTTTTCTTTCTCATGCTGTGCCAGTAACACGTTTGTCCCCTTTTAGACGTTGCCGGGCGCGGAATTCTGCCGTCGCTGCCGGAGGGGGTCTATGGATTTTTGTACGAGGTTACCCCCCTTCTGCTGTCCACTACTAAACTTCGATGAAGAGCGCCCAGCATGAGCATGGTTCAAGGCAGCGGTAGCGCCGGTGTCGTCAGCGATAGCAGTAGCGGCGGTGGCCCGGGCACGGAGGGCTCCTGGTCCCAGGCTGGTGTAGTAGTAGCACCTCGCGGGGCAAAGAGAAGGGAGCAACTGCTTGTGAAATCAAAACCGCGAGGAGATAGAGACGCGCCGGGCAGTGTCTTGGCTTGCTGGGCTTTGGCTTGTCGGTAGAGCGCGACGGACTCTTGCAATAGGGCAGGAACCACGGCTGGGTGGCAGCAGTGCTGCACTTTAGAAAAAAAGAGAAAAAAGTCGTCCCGCTTGCGGAAACGCGGTATTATATTAGCAGTAGGCAGGCAAGGAGAGACTGACATACATAGAGGCACGGTCAATGCCGTAGTGAAAAACCGGTGGGATGGTTCACTCGTCGGCCCTGGAGAGGAAGAGCTGTTTAGCGCGGGCGGGTGGTCGCTATAGGGCAGGTGAACTCTCTTGTTACAGATACAGTAGAGCAGTCATGTTGATTTTTCGCCTCCAACAGGGAGGGTGCCCAACATTGGGCGGGTGAACCGGCGCGGCACAAAAACGTACACCTGTCTTGTTGTAGAGAGCCCACGACGGGTGTTCCGTGGACCGAGTAGCCGACGTTCCGCATTTTTTGTTGGAGTCCTCTTGTGGAGCGAGCGGGTTCAGAGGACATCGAGAGAGTGTGGGTGTTGGGTGTGCCTGATGTGTAGACTATTTGATCATGAAGTGCCAAGGGTTATCGGAGCACGTCACGTTGCGCTCCCATCGCACCAGAAAACGCATATGGATCGGTGTGTTTTCATTGTTGGCATCGACGGCGCTAACCGGCTGACCAATGGAAAGACGTCAGTGTCAGCGGATAAAAAATCAAGATCGGTGTGTGTGTTTGTAAACAAGGGGCGGGGGGGAGGCGGAGAATCATGACCGCTCTGTGTCTGACGGCCAAGTTTAGGACGAGCTTGGGTGGACACCTCACAGGGATGGCGCGAATGACCTATTACATGCACGGTACGAGTTGTACCCTCCCGTCCTATCCCGTGCCCCATTATTCTCGAACCGCCGTGCGATATTCTTCGGACAAGATGCCATATATGGTGTGGTGGTCCGGCTCCGCTTCTGTTTTTTGTTTTTTTTTCGGTTGTGCTGAAAGAAGGCGGGCGTTTCAGACAATGTAGCAAGCAGTAACTGAATACCAAGCATTTGAGAGTGTCCACCAGCTCACTCAACATGGGGGGATAAGTCTCCCTCCCTAGGTTTAGGTGTGTTGTGTCGGGACAACAAGCAGGCAGCAGGTAGACCAACGAGCTCACCATCGTTTTAACTCCTCGTTGTTGTGGAGATAGATGAGCTTTACAAATGGTCACATCTCCCCCCGAATGTCTGTTGAGGACGATGAGTCTTTCCACTCTGAATTGCGTCGACATGGGGATGTCTAACTTTGATGGAAGAGAACCCGGGTTCGGTTCAAATCCCGCCGCCCACCACATATGAAGAGGGAAAAAACGGGGGGAAAACCATGGTAACACGGTAGGGACTGAAAAAAAAAATGTTTGCCCCTTGATATACAATCGTAGATTAGGTGTGTGATGCATCTGTCATCACTGCCCGCTGCATGCCTGTCGCCGACAAGCAGACATCGAGACCCAGCCTACAACCACGAACGGCCATCTACGCGAACAACAAGGCCCTAACTATAAATCACTAATATTGTGTTGCCTGAGGAACAAGCCCAAGCAAGCGAAAAATCGGCCAAGAGAGGACTTTCAAAAAAAAAAAAGTGAGCTGCACCAAAAGTGCTATCCTTTCCCTTATTAACCCTTTTGAGTCTTCAGGCGTTCTCACTGATCATTGATTGATCATTTGCAAATGCTGGTGTAGTGGCAAGTCGTGGAGTTGCCGCCCTGCAGCCCTTCGCGCCGTGTATTGGCAAGTCCATAGGTAGGTGTGTCTAGATTATTAGCACCGGCGCTAACCGGCTGACCAATGAAGAGACTTCAGTGACAGCGGGTAATATCAAGGTCTCGGGAATGGGAATGGGGCCAATCAATGCCAAATAATGAATCTCTCAATGTATGCACATGTCAATAAACGCGTGTGTGCGTACAGCAGTACATACATACATACATATGTGTTCTTTCGCAGCACCACACATACACTCGCCCGAACGTAGGAAGCCACTGCTGCAAAGAGCAGAGGACAGCCAAAGGGAGGGGTATTGCAGTCCCTGCCGAAGCCCAGATATCGAGGATATCGTGGTTCCCAACAATTTGAAAATCGTTCCCAAGATCCCGCAGTCATTGTGTCAACAGCTACAACGAACGCTACAACAACACTACTACTACTGCTGTAGACGAGTAAAACATATCAGCAACACATCCACACTCGTAGCGCCACACATACCACCCTCGCCCGAACCTAGGAAACCACGAGGTACAGGTGTGTGCTGGTGGATGTGCTTGTTGTTTGACAAACACAGGAGCTCTAGAGAGTTGGCAGGGCACATTTCGGGGGGGGACAGAGAACAGAGAAGTACAGAAGTACAAATACCAGCTATGGGTCTTCACTGATCATTTTGCCCTCTCTGGACTGATCATTTACAATATACCGAAAATAGACTAGTTGAGGCAGCTAGACGACTGATCATTTCAAAGGCTACACAGCTAACCTGCCCTACTGACCGCAGCGCGACCACCCACCAACCCTTCTACGACCCTGTCTGTGGCCACCACCGTGTCGCCGGCTTCTCTCATGGCCTACAGGTGGAGATAGCTGTTGCGTGTGCAGAAGTACACTGGTGTCTTTCTCTGCACTTCTCTCTCTCCCGCTCGCTCTCGCTCTCA